TGATTCACCAGCTGAAAGGGAGTCGTGCTCTCTTCTGAGGCTCCATCATACCTGGAATAGACATCTCTTGGTAGGACCATGCTTCCTATGTTCTCAGCTGATATGGCTCAGGTCGAGCTGTCCCCTTCCACAAGTCGCAGGGGCGGGTCCAGGACTCAGTCCTAGATAATCAAAGCATGATTTTCCCCTGGCTACTGTGCTTTGTTCAAGAGCAGGCACATGATTCAGGTTGGTCTAAGACAAGTTCTGGAATTTTGGCTAAAATCATTGAAAAAGTGTTGCTCTTTGAGTTGGAGTTGCTAAGTTGGCAGGATATAAGCCTAAAGTTCTTGGTGGCCATCATGCCAGCAGGGAATTAAGTTGACTCAGAAAAAACCAGAGGGAAATGATGGAGGGATTTCTGATAACATCATTTGGACACCCTGATCAAGCCATACCTGAAACCTCAACTAGATTTAGGAACCAATAACCTCCCTTTATTGCTTAAGCCAATTGGAGCAGGCACACCTAACACTTTTGACCAAGAGTCTTGGATAATTTAGCATCTCTGTGTCCCTTCATAATGTGGCTTCTCATTTTGTATCTGATGTTGCAATTATTCCTGAGCACATTTAATGCATCCTCCTCGGCTCCGAGAATTTTTTTTTTTTTTTTTTTGATGGGGTCTATCTCTGTCGCCCAGATTGGAGTGCAGTGGTGCGATCTCAGCTCACTGCAACCTCCACCTACTGGGTGCAAGTGATTCTTCTGCCTCAGCCTCCCGAATAGCTGGGACTACAGGTGCGTGCCACTATGCTGGCTAATTTTAATATTTTTAGTAGAAACAGGGTTTCACCATGTTAGCCAGGCTGGTCTCAAACTCCTGACCTCAAATGATCTACCCTCCTCAGCCTCCCAAAGTGCTGGGATTACAGGCATGAACCATCGCCCCCAGCCGGCTATGAGATATTGAAACCAGAATTCCTCCTAGGTGCCAGGCACAACTCAGGTGTTTGGGGAATGCTTGGTGAATGAGTGGATGGATCGATGGATGGATGGACTGATGGATGGAAATAATTAAGATAATACACGTTCCTCCGGAATATCAAACCCTCAAATTGCAGCCTATGCTTCTCCAGGCCTTCCTCAGAATCCTTGCCTTCCCTTGCCCCATTGTTGTGTTCATTCACTGAGGTAATAAATGTTTATTGATCACTACAATGTGTGAGGCTCTGTGCCAGGGAGTGTGTGGCACAGCGGTGCGGCACCCGGGCTCTGGAGTCATTTGGACCTGGATTTGAACCCCAGCTCTGCCCTTTCATCTTGGTGTGACCCTGGACAACTTGCTTAACATCTCTGAACCTTGATTTCTTCATCTGTAAAATGAACATTAGTGGTATTTTGCCCATATAGTTGTTGTGAGACTAACCAAGATAAAACGATCCCTTACTATGTGCTGTTTACAAATGTTAGCTGTAATTATGCTTTTGCTTTCCAATTTAACTAGCCAGGTAGGTAGGTAAGTAGCGGGAGAGAGAGAGAGGAAGAGAAGGAGGAAACAGCAAAAATAAATGCATTTTTTTCTCTGATAATTTGTGGAAAATATACTTGTCTAGACCAGTGGTTCTCAACTAGGGGTGACTGTGTGCCCCAAGGACGTTTGGCAATGTCTGGACACATCTGAGTTGTCATGACTGAGGGAGTGCTACTAGCATCTGCAGCCAGGGATGCTGCTAATAAACAGGACAACCCCCATGACAAAGAAATGTCTGGTCCCAATGTGCACAGTAGCCAGGCAGAGTGGCTCACACCTGTAATCCCAGCACTTTAGGAGGCCGAGGCAGGAGGATAGCTTGGGCTCAGGAGTTCAAGATCAGCTTAAGCAATATAGGGAGACCCTGTCTCTACAAAAAAATAAGCCAGGCATGGTGGCGTGTGCCTGTAGTAGCAGCTACTTGAGAGGCTGAGGCGGGAGGATTGCTTCAGCCCAGTAGATTGAGGCTATAGCGAGCTGTGATTGTACCGCTGCACTCCAGCCTGGGCCATAGAGTGAAACCCTGTCTCAAAAACAATAACAACAAAAACAAAAAACAAAAGTATCCACAGTGCCTAGGCTGAGGAATCCTGGTCTGTAATGCATTGACATCTCTGATATTAAGGGCCACAGTGCAAGGTGCAGTGTCTGGCACATAGTAGGTGCTCAATGAATGTTTGACAACCACATGAATGAATGAATCAATCAATCACAGAATGAATGAATCATCGAATGAATGAATGATTATCTAGTTCATTTGTCATTTGGCTGAGTGCCTGGGACAGGGCTGCATCCGAGCAACTGTTCAGTAAATAGGTATGGACAGGTTCCTGCAAATGTCCCCCTCCGAAGCAGCTGGGGAGTGAGGTCCTGGCAGGGTAACACCCGGCCTCACAGCTGTGATTCCAGGTCATGATAAATTGCTGTGGGAGGCCACAGAGCAGACAGCTCATCACACATTGTGATGGATTCATTGTCTTCTCTCGTGGCCCCCTTTATCTCAAACTCTCAGCAGAGGAGGGTTGAAAGGGGCTGAGCTGAGCGAGGACCTGTGGATTCTGCTCTTCAGGAAAAGGAGGGAAAATGAGCCCAGACAGGATCATCGTTAACTGGCTCCAAGGTCAAGAGCCCGTCAGAATGTCAGAATTAGAGATGGGGGCAGGGATGGCGGCGGGACTCTCTTCATCACCACACCGTGTCTAATTCATTTATTTAACAAATATTTATTGAGTACCAGAGACTCTTCAGGCATATATGAGTTAACAAAACACATGAAATCCCTACCCTGTTGGAATTTACGTTTTAAAGAAGCAGGATGAACAATGGACACATAGGTCGGACATACTGTATTTGAGGGGTCCTGTGCACTAGGAGAAAAATCAGGTAGGGAGGGAAGATAAGGATGTTTGGGGTTGAGTTTTTCCATTGAGGTGAAATTCACATACCATGAAATTAATCATTTAAAAGTGAACAATTGGCCGGCGCAGTGGCTCAGGCCTGTAATCCCAATATTTTGGGAGGCTGAGGCAGGAGGATCACTTGATCCCAGGAGTTGGAGACCAACCTGGGCAACATGACAAGACCCCATCTCTACTTTTTTTAAGTGAACAATTGAGCGGCATTTAGTTCATTCACAATGTTATGTAACCACTATTTCTGTCTAGTTCCAGAACATTCTCATCACCCCAAAAGGAAACCCCATACCCATTAAGTAGTCCCTCTCCATTCCCTCTTCCTCCGGCCCCTGGTAACCACTGCTTTTCTTTCTCTGTATGGATTTGTCTGTCTTTGGGTATTTCACATAAATGGCATCATACACTATGTGGCCTTTTGTGACTAGCTCCATTCACAAGAAGCTCACCTTGTTTTCAAGGTTCATTCATGTGGTGGCATGTGCCTTTCATTCTTTTGTATGGCTGAGTAAAATTGAATTGCATGGATAGACCACATTTTGTTAATCCATTCGTCTGTTTAGAGACATCTGGGTTGTTGCCATCTTTGGCTATTGTGAACAGTGCTGCTGTGAACATTCAGGTTACAAGTATCTGCTTGAGGCCGGGCACGGTGGCTCACTCCAGCAGTCCTAGCACTTTGGGAGGCTGGGACGGGTGGATCACTTGAGGTCAGGAGTTCGAGACCAGCCTGGTCAACATGGTGAAACCCCATCTCTACTAAAAATAAAAATAAAAGTGGTACCTGTTTGAGTCCCTGTTTTCAATTCTTTGGGGGTAAAAACCTAAAAGTGGAACTGCTGGGTATATGGTAATTCTGTGTTTAACTTTTTTAGGAATGGCCAGTTTTCCACAGCAGCAGCACCATTTTACACTCCTATCAGTAATATGCAGATGTTCCAATTTCTTCATCTCCTCACCAATATTTGTTATTTTCCATTTTTAAAATAATAGTCATCCTAGTGATAGGAAGCCGTGTGTCCTGTGGTTTTGATCTGTTTCCCTAATGCACATCATTACGTGGTGAGCATATTTTCATGTGCCCACTGCCCATGTGTGTATATCTTCTTAGATCGTCCTTTGCTCACTTTTGACTACGGTCATTTGTCCTTTTGTTACTGAGTTAAAAGCATGGGGTTAACTTATTTTTATTTTTATTTTTTTTATTTTTTATTTTTTGAGACAGTCTCACTCTGTCACCCAGACTGGAGTACAGTGGCGCAATCTCGGCTTACTGCAACCTCCACCTCCCAGATTCAAGTGATTCTCCTGCCTCAGCATCCCAACTAGCTGGGACTACAGGCACCCGCCACTACACCCGCCTAATTTTTGTATTTTTAAGTAGAGACGGGGTTTCACCCTATTGGCTAGGCTGGTCTTGAACTCCTGACCTCGTGATCCTCCCCTGTTGGCCTCCCAAAGTGCTGGGATTACAGGCATGAGCCACTGTGCCTGGTCTTTATTTTTATTTTTTGTGACAAGGTCTCGCTCTGTCACCCAGGCTGGAGTGCAGTGGTGCAATCACAGCTCACTGCAGCCTCAACCTCCTTGGCTCAAGCGATCCTCCCACCTCAGCCTCTTGTGTAGCTGGGACCACAGGCGCACACTTCCATACCAGGCTAATTTTTGTATTTTCTACAGAGACTGGGTTTCACTATGTTGCCTAGGCTGTTCTTGAACTCCTGGGCTCAAGTGTCCTCCTGCCTCACCCTCCCACAGCTCTGGGATTACAGGTGTGAGCCATGATGCCCAGCCTGAATTTTTAAGTAGGGTGACCAGAAAAGACCTCCCTAAGATGATGACTTTTTTTTTTCTTTTGAGATGGAGTCTCGCTCTGTCGCCCAGGCTGGAGTGCAGTGGCGCAATCTCGGCTCACTGCAAGCTCTGCCTCCCGGGTTCACACCATTCTCCTGCCTCAGCCTCCCGAGTAGCTGGGACTACAGGCGCCCACCACCATGCCCGGCTAATTTTTTGTATTTTTAGTAGAGACCGTGTTAGCCAGGATGGTCTTGATCTCCTGACCTTGTGATCTGCCCGCCTCAGCCTCCCAAAATACTGGGATTACAGGCGTGAGCCACAGCGCCCGGCCAGATGATGACTTTTAAGTGAAGACCTTAAGAAGGTGATGGGGGATGCCAAGGGGATATCTGAGAAGAGCATTCTAGGCAGAGAGGATGCCAGATGCAAAGACCCTGAGGTAGGTCACTTTCATTTGTCTGTAACTTGGTTTTCCTGTCTGCAAATGGGGAGGAATAAAACCATGAAGCATCACATCAAATGTTGGCAAATTATCAACACCTGGGCTCGCCCACAGCTCTTGCTCTTAAGCAAGATACTTAATGTCTTAGAGCTTCCATTTGCTCACCTGTAAAATGGTGATAATAATTGTACCAACCTCACAGTGTTATCAAATTAAAAGAAATATGATTTGCCAGGGCTTGGCACACAGTAATGTTCAGAAATGCAGGGTTTGAACGCAGACCAGGAGGACTTCCAGTCCTGAGGGGTGATCATGGCTCACTGCAGCCTTGATCTCCCAGGCTCAGGTGATCCTCCCACCTCAGCCCCTCGAGTAGCTGAGACTACAGGCACGTGCCACCATGCCCAGCTAATTTTTGTATGTTTTGTAGAGACGGGTTTCACCATGTTGCCTAGGCTGGTCTCAAACTCTTAGGCTCAAGTGATGTGCCTGCCTTGGCCTCCCCAAGTGCTAGGATTACAGGTGTGAGCCACTGTGCCTGCCTGCCTCCCTCCCTCGCTCCCTCCCTCCCTCCCTCCCTTCCTTCTTTCCTTCCTTCCTTCCTTCCTTCCCTCCCTCCTTCCTTTCTTTTTCTTGAGTTAGAATCTCACTCTGTCTCCCAGGCTGGAGTGCAGTGGCACAATCATGGCTCACTGCAGCCTTGAACTCCTCGATTCAAGCGATCCTCCTGCCTCAGTCTCCCAAACTGGGATTACGGGCATGAGCCACTGCACCCAGCTCAGTTCCCCTCATTTCTAGGGCAGAGTCTGAAGAGTTTCATGGTATGGGGGCCTGTGGTCCATCCTGACTGGTACCCTGTACATACACGTGTCTGCCCAGCAAATACCATTCGGGGAAATAAAAAAACACAAGATCTATCTTTTTCAACACAAGTTACCATGGTGTTTTGCTTTGTCTTGTTTTTTGGTGGCAAATAGATTGTGGGCCTTGGGGTCTCAAGTGAGTGCTCAGATCCCAGCTTCCGAGAAATTCCAGTCAGCTATTTAAAACGCCGAGCAGAGCCTGGTGAGAGTGAAACCACAACCCACTAGTTTCCAGCCCTTATTTTTCTCCCTCTAGAAAGAACTAGGAATCAGGAATCTCAAATTCGAGTCATCACTTTGTCCAAAGCTAACTCTGTGACCTTGAGCAAATCCCTTCCCCTCTCTGCCTCAGTTTCCCAGGAATCCCTCTGTAAAGACCTTTTCCTCTCTGTAACCATGGTGGTGCTGCTACTGACCAGCAGAGGGCAGTGTTGCACCAACATTCTCTATGGATCTGCGTTACTTTTGCCTGACCTTGGACAGGAACATTGAAATCATTAATTAGTGGTTTGTGTCATTCTCTTTTTCAAAAAGCCTTATTTTATCCTCAGTGCATAGTCAGAACAAGGTCTTGCCACAGTGTACAGATAAGGAAGCAGAGCCTCAGAAGCATAAGAAACTTAATTACTGGTAATTTCAGTCATAACACATCCTAAATTTAGACTCTCAGAATGGTATGAACCCATTGCTGTATGTATGAGCAGTAAAGCATTGGTAATCCATTACCTGCTTTATGCATCATGAAGCACTTTCTGATCCTCAATATCGACAATTCTCATCTTATTCTCCTCCAGTTTGTAAATGAGCAAACTGTGGCTTCTAGAGGCTGTATCATTTGGCTTAGCTTTTTTTTTTTTTAGAGACAAGTTCTCGCTATGTTGCCCAGGATGACCTCAAACTCCTGGCTTCAAGTGACCCTCCCACCTCAGCCTCACGAGTAGCTGGGATTACAAGTGTGAGCCATTGCACTCGGCACCAGCATATTCACAATCAGTTCCATCTTAGAGGCTGTTTGGTGGACTCCCAGAAATATTAGCTTAAAAGTGGCAGAGCCTGGCATTTTGCAGTTTTTGTGTGATGAAATGTACTGAGTTCTCATACAAATATTGCTCCTTGTTTTGCAAAAGGAATTAGGCCCCTTTCCCCGTCTCAGCAGCTGACCCATTATTAGCAATCCCCTAGGGAACTGGAATAGCTTTAGATCAACAGTGGTTCTCAAAAGAGACTATCAAATGACACACTTGTCCCCAGCTCCAGATTCCGATATCCACACCCCAAACATCCAATCACTGCTTTTCATAGTCTTTTGATGGTTTTTGTTTTTGGTTTCAGTTTTTGGTTTTTAGTGTTTTTCTGAGACAAAGTCTGGCTCTGTTGCCCGGGCTGGAGTGCAGTGGTGCCATCTCGGCTCACTGCAACCTCCACCTCCCAGGTTCAAGCTATCCTCCTGCCTCAACCTCCCACCATACCTAGATAATTTTTGTAATTTAAATAGAGGTGGGGTTTCACCATGTAGGCCAGTCTGGTCTCAAACTCTTTTTTTTTTTTTTTTTTTTTTTGGACAGAGTCTCACTTTGTTTACCGAGCCAGAGTGCAGTGGTGTGATCTCGGCTCACTGCAGCCTTTACCTCCAGGTTCAAGCGATTCTCTGGCCTCAGCCTCCTGAGTAACTGGGATAACAGGTGCACACCACCTTGCCTGGCTAATTTTTATATTTTTAATATAGATGGGGTTTTACCATGTTGGCTAGGCTGGTCTCGAACTCCGGACCTCAAGTGATCCACCACCTCGGTCTCCCAAAGTGCTGGGATTACAGGCGTGAGCCACCACGCCCAGCCTAAGTTTTTGTATTTTTAGTAAAGACGGGGTTTTGTCATGTTGGCCAGGCTGGTCTCGAACTGTTATTCTCAAGTTATCCACCTGCCTCGGCCTCCCAAAGTGTTGGGATTACAGGCGTGAGCCACCGTGCCTGGCCTTCTGCTTGATCAATTCTGCTGTTAAGACTCTGATGCAGGGACAGGGGGCGGAGCTGGAGGGGGTGGTTCGGCGTGGGGGCCGTTGGCTCCAGACAAATAAACATGGAGTCCATCTTCCACGAGAAACAAGAAGGCTCACTTTGTGCTCAACATTGCCTGAATAATTTATTGCAAGGAGAATATTTTAGCCCTGTGGAATTATCCTCAGTTGCACATCAGCTGGATGAGGAGGAGAGGATGAGAATGGCAGAAGGAGGAGTTACTAGTGAAGATTATTGCACGTTTTTACAGCAGCCTTCTGGAAATGTGGATGACAGTGGTTTTTTCTCTATTCAGGTTATAAGCAATGCCTTGAAAGTTTGGGGTTTAGAACTAATCCTGTTCAACAGTCCAGAGTATCAGAGGCTCAGGATCAATCCTATAAATGAAAGATCATTTATATGCAATTATAAGGAACACTGGTTTACAGTTAGAAAATTAGGAAAACAGTGGTTTAACTTGAATTCTCTCTTGACGGGTCCAGAATTAGTATCAGATACATATCTTGCACTTTTCTTGGCTCAATTACAACAGGAAGGTTATTCTGTGTTTGTTGTTAAGGGTGACCTGCCAGATTGCGAAGCTGACCAACTCCTGCAGATGATCAGGGCCCAACAGATGCACCGACCAAAACCTATTGGAGAAGAATTAGCACAACTGAAAGAGCAAAGAGTTCATAAAACAGACCTGGAACGAGTGTTAGAAGCAAATGATGGCTCAGCAATGTTAGATGAAGATGAGGAGGATTTGCAGAGGGCTGTGGCACTAAGTCGCCAGGAAATTGACATGGAAGATGAGGAAGCAGATCTCCGCAGGGCTATTCAGCTAAGTATGCAAGTTCCAGAAATATATCTCAAGATATTCCATGGACATCAGGTACAAACCTTACTTCAGAAGAGCCTTGGAAGAGACGAGAAGCCTACTTTGAAAAACAGCAGCAAAAGCAGCAGCAGCAGCAGGAGCAGCAGGGGGACCTATCAGGACAGAGTTCACATCCATGTGAAAGGCCAACCACCAGTTCAGGAGCACTTGGGAGTGATCTAGGTGATGCTATGGGTGAAGAAGACATGCTTCAGGCAGCTGTGACCATGTCTTTAGAAATGGTCAGAAATGATTTGAAAACAGAAGGAAAAAAATAATACCTTTAAAAAATAATTTAGATATTCATACTTTCCAACATTATCCTGTGTGATTACAGCATAGGGTCCACTTTGGTAATGTGTCAAAGAGATGAGGAAATAAGACTTTTAGTGGTTTGCAAACAAAATGATGAGAAAGTGGAACAATGCGTCAGTTGTAGGACTAAATAATGATCTTCCAAATATTAGCCAAAGAGGCATTCAGCAATTAAAGACATTTAAAATAGTTTTCTAAATGTTTCTTTTTCTTTTTTGAGTGTGCAATATCTAACATGTCTAAAATTAGGGCATTTTTCTTGGATCTTTTTGCAGACCAGCTAATTACCTCTTGCCTCAGGCTTTTTCCATATAGTTAGTTTTCTTTTTCTCTCTTGTAGATAATTTGGCTCACATCATCTAATAGTGGCTTTCATTTCTTATTAACCAAATTAACCTTTCAGGAAAGTATCTCTAGTCCGTATTGATAATAGTAATGGTTCTAGAAGGATAAACGGTTCGCCCTTCAACTGTATACTGTGTGCTCCAGTGTTTTCTTGTGTTATTTTCTCTGATCACAACTTTTCTGCGACCTGGTTTTCATTATTTTTCCTCAATTCTTTGGAAAGATGGTAATCTTTTCTGAGGTCTAGTGTTTTAAGCCCTACGATGGGATCATTATTTCATGACTGGTGCATTCCTAAACTCTGAAATCAGCCCTGCACAAGTACTTGAGAATAAATGAGCATTAAAAAAAAAAAAAAAAAAAAGACTCTGATGCATTCTTCAGTATGTCAATTTCATTTTCAACTCTAGAATTTCTGCTTGACTCTTTTTAATTATTTCTATCTCCTTGTTACATTCATCTGATGGAAAATCAGAATTCCTTCTCTGCTTTGTCTTGAATTTCTTTGAGTTTCCTCAATACAGCTCTTTCAAATTGGCTACCTGAAAGGTTGCCTATTTCTGTTTCTGCAGGGTTGGTCCCCGGTGCCTTATTCAGTTTGGTGAGGTCATGTTTTCCTGCATGGTGTTGATGCTTACAGATATTCATCAGTGTCTGAGCAGTGAAGAGTTAGGCATTTATTGTAGTCTTCACAGTCTGGGCTTGTTTGTGCCTGTGATTCTTGGGAAGGCTTTCCAGGTATTCAAAGGGACTTGAACCCCAAACCCAATAACACTGTGGTTCTTGCAGACTCCTAAAGGTACCGCTTTAGTGGTCCTGGATAAGATCCGGAAGAATTCTCTGCATTACCAGGCACAGGTTCTTGTTCTTTTCCCTTACTTTCTTCCAAACAAACGGAGTCTCTCCCTCTCTTTCCGAGCTAGGCCTCTTGGAACTGGGGGTGGAAGGACACAAGAACCCCTGTGGCCATCACCACCGGGACTGCATTGGTTCAGACCTGAAGCAGCCCAGCACTGGGTCTCACCTAAGGTCTGCTAGAAATGCTACCTGGCCACCACCTGAGTTCACTCAAGGGCCTGGGGCTCTACAATCAGCAAATAGCAAACCCAGCCAGGGTATTGTGGCTCCCTTCAGGGCAGTGAGTTTTCCTAGGCTCTGGGTGGGTCCAGAGATCCTGTCTGGGAGCCAGGGATTGGAGTCATAAACCATTCTATAGATGTACTAAGATAGAATAGAATTCTATAGACGTACGATTCCACTGCAGCTAAGCTGGCACTCAAACCGCAAGGCAAAGTCCTTCCCACTCTTCACTCCCCTTTCCTCAGTCAGAGGAACCTCTCCTCGTGGCCACCACTACCACCAGCCTACAAGGAGTTCTGCCAGGCCACTGCTGATGTTCACTGAAAGCCCCAGGGCTCTTCAGGCAGCCTGTGATGAATGCTATCAGGCCTGTGACTCATCCTTCAGGGCACTGGGCTCCCCTTGGCCCAGGGCAGGTCTGCAAATGCTGACCAACAGCCTACGCCTGTACTCAGGGACCCCAAGAGGCTGCTTGGTGCTCCACCCGACTGTGGCTGAGCTGGTACCTAAGGGGCAAGACAGGTCCCCTTTACTCTTCCTCCTGCTTTTCTCGAACAGAAGGCATCTTTCACTGAGGCCGCCACAGCCGGGAATGTGCTGGGTCACACCTGAAGCCAGCATGTCTCAGAGCCCAGTGCCCACCGGTGGACAGGAAGTAGGATTTAGTGGTGAGTGTTAAGAAGGGGCAGCACAGTGGAAGCCCTCATGAGTGCAGGGCCCACTACTTGTCCAGAGGGCCACAATGGAGATGTACTCGTGAGACGTACACACATCTCAGATGAGCCGCTTCTCCACCACCATGTCTTCAAATTCATCGTCATTGAACTTGGTGAAGCCCCACTTCTGTGAGATGTGGATCTTCTGGCGGCCACGGAACTTGAACTTGGCTGTGAGCAGGGCCTTAACTACATGCTCCTTGTTCTCCGGGTTCAAGGCGGATGGACATGATAACTTGGCCAATGTGAACCCCAGCCATAGTGCCCTGGGGCTTTCCAAAAGCACCTCGCGTATCTGTTTGGAGCCTACACTGGGGTAGTGCAAGGTCAGAGACATGAACATCCATCTGAAGGGCCTGTCTCCAAGGTCCCTTAGAGCAGTCCATACAAGAAACAGGCTGCGTGCACCATCAAGGAAGCTGCTGTTTGCAGCCATTGCACACTGGACCCCCATGAGGCGAGGAACTCGGCCAGCTGAGTTGGCTGTAGATGTCCGCAGCATATTACCCGGCTATGGCTGTTGGTTATACAGGGCCCAGGGGCTCCTTTGTCAGCAGATGGTGAATGCTGCCAGGTCTCTGCTGTGATGGGACAGCACTGAGTTCAATGTGAAGTCCCCAAGTTGCTAGCTCTCCCTCTCCCATGTGCACAGATCTGTCTGTGCCACATGGTCACTGCCAGGGGTGGGAGTGGGGGGTGGCCCAAGAACTCCCTTAGCTGCCCCAGCTAATGTCTCAGGAGGTTGTGTGCCTCTGACTCCACAGTCCACTGGTTGTGAGCCCAGCTCGGCACTCAGGTTTGCCTGTGAATTGCAGTCCTGATGGCCTAAACTGCCCCTCAAGTCTGCTAAGGGCCCCAGAGCACTCCAGCTCGCAGTGGCAAGGCTTGCCAGAACTCAGGCTCCAACTGCCAGGATGGGCAATTCCGGTGAGTGCCAGTCCAAGCACTCCCTGTGTGAGCCGGTGTTAGCTAAGTACACTTGGATTCTGCTTTCTGCTGTGACAATGTGAAGTCTCACAATCACTGTGCTCTTCCTCTCCAAAGCACACCAATACTCCATGCCACGGGGCCGCTGCTGGGGGGTGGGGGATGGGTGGCGTCAGCAACTCAAGACTGTCTTTCCTGCCCTCTTCAACATCTCTTTCAAAGATACAAGGTTAAAACCAGGTACTGTGATTGCTCACCTGATTTTTGGTTCTTGCGATGGTTCTTTTTGTGTGTTGTTAGCTATTAAAATTTGGTGTTCCTGTGAGGGGTCAAATGATCAAATGATGTAGGTTTTCTTTTCTTTCCTTTTCTTTTCTTTTCTTTCTTTTTTTGAGACAGAGTCTTGTTCTGTCACCCAGGCTGGAGTGCAGTGGCGTGATCTGGGCTCACTGCAAGCTCCGCCTCCTGGGTTCACGCCATTCTCCTGCCTCAGCCTCCCAAGTAGCTGGGACTACAGGTGCCCGCCACCATACCCAGCTAATTTTTTTGTATTTTTAGTAGAGACGGGGTTTCACCGTGTTAGCCAGGATGGTTTCAATCTCCTGACCTCGTGATCCGCCCGCCTTGGCCTCCCAAAGTGCTGGGATTACAGGCATGAGCCTCCCCGCCCGGCCAAATGGTGTTGGCTTCTATTCAGCCATCCTGCTCCACCCTCTGATTTTTTTTTTTTTAATTGAAAGGCACAGGCAAAGTTTGGTGCTGGTGGTGGTAGAGAGAATAGTGATTATTAGCAGAAAAAGAAAAGAGCTCCAGGATGCTGTCTATATTTAATATGCAGGCCTGCCTCCTGGCTGGATCATATTGATGGTTCAGGTAGAGGGACAGGGTCACCACTATCCCCCGCCAACTGCTCCATGTCATCAGACCTCTGGCTTCTCACACGGCCCAGGTACATGGGACTCTGATTTTTCTTTTCTTTCTTTTTCTTTTCTTTTCTTTTCTTTTTTTTTTTTTTTTGAGACAGAGTCTCACTCTGTCACCCAGGCTGGAGTGCAGTAGTGCCATCATGGCTCACTGCAATCTGCATCTCTGGGTTCAAGTGATTCTCCTGCCTCAGCCTCCCAGGTAGCTGGGATTACAGGCACCTGCCATCATGCCCAGCTAATTTTTGTATTTTTGCAGAGGTGGGGTTTCACCATGTTGGCCAGGCTGTTCTTGAACTCCTGACCTCAGGTGATCCACCTGCCTCAGTCTATCAAAATGCTGCGATTATAGACATGAGCCACCATGCTCAGCCAGGACTCTGTCATTTCATTGTGCAGTCCTACAGACCTTCTCTTTCATCTGTACCTGTTTCACTAGCCAGGGCACCAGTCTCCTGAGGACTGCCTAGGTAAATGCCCGGATTAATTTGCTCCTCTAAGACATTTATAGACACTCTCTGTGGACAGATCATACACTCAGCAAAGAGCAGCAAACAGGTCTTAGCACCCTGTGAACCTGATACTGGGAGGGGCCCCACACCCTCTCATATCACCCTCATTTAGTCTTATTTATACAAGTAGCAAATTTAGGACTCAAGATCTGCCCTGTATCGATGTCTTTCTAGGTATTTTGTTGTCTGAAGTTTGTTATTTCTCAGGAAGAGATCATGGGAATAATAGCGCCTGAGGTCTTCTGTCACAGCGTGGTATGTCAGGGTCTTTTCTACCTGAATGTCAGTTTTGCTGGATATAACATTCATGGCTTACAGTTTCTTTTCTTAAATATGTACTCCATTTTCCTCAGGTACAAAGTATTGCTCTCAAAAAGGTAGATTCTAATTTCTTTCCCTTACATGTCACTTCTGCTTTTTTGTCTAGAAGCCCAGAAATTTTTATTTTTTATTTAGAGCCTAGTATTGTACTAGAATATGACTAATAACTTGCATTAGTCATTCTGAATAAAAATTCCATGCACTCTTTTTTTTTAAATTTATTTTTGAGACAGAGTCTCATTCTGTCACCCAGGCTGGAGTGCAGCGGCATGATCTTGGCTCATTGCAGCCTCTGCCTCCTGGGTTCAAGTGATTTTCCTGCCTCAGCCTTTGGAGAAGCTGACATTAAAGGTGCCCACCACTACACCAGGTAATTTTTGTATTTTTAGTAGAGATGGGGTTTCACCGTGTTGGCCAGGTTGGTCTTGAACTCCTGACCTCAAGTGATCCACCTGCCTTGGCCTCCCAAAGTGATGGGATTACAGGCGTGAGCCACCGCGCCCGGTCCATGCACTTTTTCAATAAGCAGAATCTTCCAGTAAAGGTATGTTGAATTCATGGATAACATACTCTGGTGTACCCAATAATCACTGGGCCAAGAATTGGCTTTTATTTTAGTTGCCTCTGTTCCATGTGACTGTCAGCAGATTCTTCTCTTTGCTGGATCTAAATGGACCTCATTAGTAAAACTCTCAATTGAAAACACTTTATAGATTGATGAAAGTGAAGCCAGGGCTCTGTCAAGCCTTTGCTTTTTATGTTGTAGGAAGAGGGACTTGATTTCCCAGAGAAAGTCAAATCAGGGTCAGAATGACAAATTATTGACTTTTTCTGTGTGTGGAGAAAGAGAAATTATAATAGATCT